AGGAGGGTTTCCTGCACCTCGGCGCCCTCGGGACCACGACTCTCCTGCCCGATACCCGCTGCCTGGTGGATAACGTGAAAAGCCGCTTCCCTCAGCTTCTCGATTGCGAAAAGGTCAAGAGCAGCCTCCATAAACGCTGGAATTTCATCCAGGTTTGTTATGCGTCTGCCCTCGATGCTGCTCCTCTGCTTCCCAAACCACGGGCTGCGGCGCGTCGTCTTCGGCGTGAGACAGTGGGGGACGAGGACAAAATGGTCCTGTTCGACAGCAGATGCCACGTCCCAGGGCAGAGGGAAAAGATTTAGAGGGATCAGGGGCAGGGACAGTATTTTAGGACAATTTCCAGTAGAAGTTTCCCTTTCTGGTACCCTCAGGTGTATGTAAGCTGCCCTGTGACTTTCAGATTTCTTTGTTTCTTACAGATAATCTGTGGTGAAATACATGAAAACACGGTACTTTTGTCCCAAAACAGAGAGTAAATAATATACACCATAAAGAAATGTCACACCTTCCAAACACAGGGGCGCAGCCGTGCTACTTAAAGGTCACAGATGTCCTTTGGTTGCTGACGTGTAATTATTGTAGGAATTATTTAATCATTTGAATTGCATCACTGCCCAAAAGTGCTGCGCACTTTTCCAGCAATGCACAAGGACACAGCTGCACAGTCCTGGCTTGCTTCACAGGCAACCCCACGTCTTTAAATTTTGTAATATTTTTAATATTTTCCCCGTCTCCTTAATTTTAGAATGGTGCCATCCTCAACAAGGGAACGGGACGATGCTTGGAAGTGGAGAACAGGGGAATGGCCGGCATTGATCTGATTCTTCGCAGCTGCACAGGACAAAGGTGGACGATTAAAAATTTCATCAAGTAAAGGGTGGAAGAGTCAGAGGAGTTTAACTCAAAACACAGCTGACTTGGACTGATCCGACTGGACTCCTTTGGAAAGGACGAAATATCAAAACAGAGCTTTATTCATGTTATTAGGAGAGGACATGGGGGAAATGGGCATTTGTGTCTTTTTTATTTTTATTGTATATTAGTCTCCCACAGCTGATTCCAACTGTGTGAAATTGGGTCAGGACTGCTATTTTCTTCTGGCAAGCACTCTAAAAGGTACCACTTATTTCTGCTGAAATGACTGTAATAAGCTCATGCAGTCTTGTGAGCATTTTACTGACAGGGAATTGTTGCTTTCCCAGCCGACTCCAAAGCCCTCCCAAAGGGCCAGGTAGGTTTGCACCACGATCGGAGTCAGGAGACCCTGGCTATAGCTGCCTGGCAAGCATGAAAACTTACGTGCTTATGAGAGGAAAAGGTTGCCAAGCCCCACATGAGCTGAGTTTGAAAGATGTGGTGTTTTGCTAGGTCCTCTCTCTCTTTTCTCCTTTTGTCCCTGCATCCAGCAGCCCCTTTCTTGAGTCTGGGAGAGGCAAAGCTCACCCTGGTAGCTCCCACAGATCTTTCCAACCCTTAATCCCAGATGTCATCAAACAAAATCCCGTTGAATAATAACACTGTTCTCCCATTGCCCCCTCTCCATTGCCCAAATGCTGCTGTTGGCCAAGCCAGCCCCGTGCAGCATCAGTCCCAAACAGAGACCTCAAACAGGTTCCCCTTCGAAAAGACCTTGGATGTCCACCTGCCCGTTTCAGGTTGGTTGGATGCACGCGTGGTGAGGAGGGCTCGCAGGATGTTTCCTGCACTGCTGCAGCCCAGATGTTGCACAGCAAGGTGTTGACCAGCTGGGAGCCTAGGGAGCTGCAGATCTACCATGCCCTTCTAGCAGGTCCGTTGGCCTGTCACTGTCTCCTTGGAGATGCATCTTTACCCTCTTTTTTGCTCTTGTAGTGGTGGGAATGGATGCACTGGTGTGTGCAACAGGCTGAGAGCAGGTAATGCAAGAGAAAGTGCCCCTGGGGCTTCCCTCTCATGGAGGCTATGGGGTTTGTTTCCAAGATGTCCTTGCTGTGAATGAAGACGTCAGTAATGGAAGTCTCCATAACTTCATAATGGTGTAGCTGTCTCTCTGAGGCTCAAGCACATCTAGCCTGCCTGGTCAGCGTGTGACTGTGGTTAGGGTCCACCCTGAACAGCACATGTTTCTGCAGTCCTTCATGAGCGATGGTGAAGGAGGGAAGGGAGGAGAGCGAGAGATCAGTAAATGGCAGTTTGGCTGAAATTCTTGACCTTGAAATGGTTTGAGGCTTGTTAATATGGTGGGGCAATCTCACCTGCTTTTTTTTGGCCCACAGCTGCCAAATCTACCCAGCCATCATGGGAGACCATTGGTTTGGGGTCCTGATGTCTCACTACCTGGAAAAGGGAAACGTGGTCTTGCAAAGTTGCTTTACATGGATGCTAGACCAATGGGTGGCTGCAGGCTTTGCTCGGTGGAGAGGATCAGCCAGCCCATCTCCTGTCCTTCTCATGGAATAATACTCTTTCTGGTTGCCCTCTGGCTAGGGTGCACTAAAATATATTAATATATGAAATGTATGTGTAAATATGTTTCCCAGAACTGGGATATGCACAGAGTTGTTTGCTGCAGAGCACTCATGCCTGTCTTCCATTTGCATCAGGATGAAGCTACCTGGATGTTTAATGAGTTTAATTTTCAATGCCATGCAGCAGATTTGTAACTGATGTTTTAGTAATTTATTGAACAGAAGCAGATATATTTCATTGTTCCTTCTACAGCAACGAGCGTCGCATAGGACTGATGGTTCATTTAGGCTTGACAAGACTTCCTCATCCATTGGGATTGCCTCGGATTTTTTTCCCTTGCCTTCCTTAATGAAGTAAAACCTCTTAGTTGTCCTGAAGTGCAAAGTAGGGAGTCAATGTAGGATTTTGCTCTCTTATTCGCTGTTGCATCATCTCTTGTGTAATAAATTTTAGCACTTACAAAACCAACGCGATCACAATGTTTTTAGATGCACGATACGTTTCCCCTTGTGTTTGTTGCTGCCTTCTAAGAAAAGCAATTTACCCATGAAGTGGACTCCAGGAAAGTCTGGGGGATTTGAGACTTCACAGCTAATGGTCAAAATGGTAAAATGCCCTTTAATTGAGCAATCAGTTTGCTGTCAGTCATCAGTGGGAGCCGCGTATTTCTCAGCGTTGGGAAAAGCCGGCGCGTTTCAGGATAAACCAAAAAGCCTTTGGATGTCGCCAGCGTTATAATTCCCGGTTCCCAGTCCAGCTCGAGTCCTGCCAGCACTCGAGGCACCGGCAGATGGGCTTTGTCAGATTTAATCGTGGTGTTACAAGGTGTCACCGCCCACAGCCTTGCATCTGCTTCAGCTGCTGGAGGTTTGTGTCCCTGTCACTAGTAGCAGAAATGAATGTGTGGCTACACCTCGGCTACCGTACTGGGCAGGACGTGCTTCAGCCCCCGGGCAGGAGGGACTTGCTCTGTTTAAGGCACCGGGCAGTGGCCGAAGTTGCTCTGGGATGGCCCCACGGCTCCGCGCGGGGGGCAGCAGCCCCTGGCAGAAGCGGGGTGCACCACCAAGCACCGCCCAGCACCAGTGGCATTTCTGCTGCCTGTTGGAGGTGACATCCGTGGCCTTGGGACCTTGCCCTCGGGCAAGACAAGATGACCTGGCGATAGGGATCACGTTGGTGATGGGCTGTGTGGTCCTTTAGAAGATTAAATTTCAGAAGTGTGTTTCTTTCACGCTTCATAAAGAAAGCAAATGCCTGAGTGTCCAAAAGGAAGGGGATGGTGGAGATGAACGCTTTGCTCCAGGACCCTCAGGTGGGACAGAAACCCTGTTGAGGTGGTTCGCCGGTCCTCGCTGCTGTACATAGAGTGCTTTCAAGTGACTGAAAAGAAGCAGCATGAATAAAATCAGGATTAAAAGTGAGAATTTAATCTGCTGTGTCCGTGTAACTGAAGTTCTGTTCTGACATTGGTTTGTGACATGCGGAGATGATTGCTGAGGCGACGACCCGAGATCCGCACCCTCCTCAACCGTAGAAATCTGTCTTAGAAATCTGGATCTAAATGTTGCATCTTGCGCTTATCTCTAATAATATGTTAATTGCTTAAAAAAGTGATATCGAAGTGGTTCTTATTAAATATATGATTTGAGTTTCGCCTCTTGAGTGATTTTAAAAAGATTCACTGCTGATGAGATACAGAGGCAGTCATTCTTCTCTGTTACTTATTTAATAGAAAAGTGCTGCTGTTTTAATGGAACTTCCATTTTAAAAAGAAATGGAAATGAAGGAGAAATCAAGAGAGATGGCCGCTGCAGATTAACCTCCCGTTTCATCCATCCCTGCCGGCTGCCACTCACCGAGATAACGCAGTTACATTCAAGAAGCTGAAAGGAGACGTTACATGGTAAGAAAGCATCCCTTGCAAGCCCTCCTGAAACCCACTTTCTTACCTCCATGTTGTCCTAAAAACCAGGTTGGCTGGTGCGTGGTGTCCCTGTGAGGTGTGGGTGGCTGTGTGCCCATGCAGGACACACGTATATCTGTGGGTGCACCGTGTAATAAGGGCACGGTGGCCATTCTCCTGATAGGAGCAGCAGCTCTCCCACCCGAGGTGAGGACCCAGCTGGCTGGTAGCGTGAGTCCAGGTAAGTGTAGCCTCCAGCCTTGGGCCTGCTTGTGCAGAGCATGGTAAATAAAGCTCCATCATGGAGTGTCCTGTTTGCACCTGCTTGAAGGATGGATGACACAACATTGATGGAAGAAAACCTGTGCTCTTGTTGTGTGCCTTTTACATGCTCAAGACTTTCTGAGGGGAGATGTCCAGGTTGGAGAACGTTACGATCCAATGTGCTTTATGGAAGATTGAAGTCAACAGTGAGCTGTTACTCTTCAAGGACCTTTGTGCTGCCCAGGGCAGAGGGCCAAACTATCAGAAAGTTCCCTCTGAGTTCTCAAATGAAGTCAAACTGCTGTCATTTCAAAGTTGAAAGTTTAACTCATGGACTCCCAATAGAAAAGCGTCTCTGCTTGGTCACAGAGCAGTTTGGGCACTCATCCGCTGATACAGATACAGATTTAAGCACTCCACTAGGAGCATGAAATTAGACATTTGAAAACTCCACAGCACACTTTTGCAGATGAGAAGCCGTCTTGCATTGGGTTGGGAAATGGGAAAAGTGTGTGTGACCGTTAGGGAATCTCAACAGGATTTCTAGAGACTTTGAGATGAAGTATTAAGGGCCCACCCTTGTCACTGGACAACAAAAGTGGTCTGTAGATGGACATCTAAGAATTGGCAAGACTTTGTGCCAGCTTTAGGGACATAAACCCTTCCAGCCCCACCAGCGTAGGGCTGGAAAGGTGAGGGGCCGACCTCTCTGCATTTTTACTGGAAGACCAAGGTCTTGTAGCTGGGCTGATCCTGTCAGGTTGGAGGAGGTGGTTCCTGGCATCCTTATTCTTATAAATTGAAAATTTCCCCAAATTCCCAATGGCTTTAAATCTTCCTGCAGGCAGGAACCACACAACACGCTGGAGCCAGTGAAGTTGCTCAGCTTGGTCAAGTTTTCAGTGAAGTTGGTGCTGGTGGGACTGGGATCTTGGCTGAGCTTTTTGCTTAGAAGCAAAGTGACGGCATCCTTCTAGCAACACATCTGAAACAAAATAACGTAGCAGAAATTACAAGCTTGAAATCCCCGCTCAGCGGTCTTCACTTAGCCAAGGTATCTTGTGAAGAGCAAGTAGGTTGTGTCACATCCCACCGGGATGACCGTGGTAAACACCCGCTGATGTCACAGCTGGGTGCAGCTGCTGGTGCCATCCGTGGCTCCTCACGAGGGAGGTCTCACTTATGGGCTGAGGTAGGAATTACAGCAGAAAAAAGGGATCAGTTTCCATTTACAGGACCACTGGTTTGGGTTACTCATGCAAGCCCCAGCTGAGAATTTGGCCAAGTACTTTGGGTCACGCTTGGAGCCAAGATACCTGCACACCAGTACCAAGGCAGTGCCATTTGTTGGGCAAATAATCACCTCGGTGTTAGCTCCAGGGTCTCCTAAACTGCGAAATATTTCTCCTGAAGGCATGCAGGAATCGCTGCCTAGAACAGCCATCCCGATCCCCTGAGTCAAATGTTGTTCCTCTGAGAGAAGGCAAAATAACAGGAAGAAAGATTGTGTAACCCGGAGAGCTTTCCAGAGGAGGAGTTTCTTATTTTATTCCCATCAGGTGGCTCTGAGACGTGATGGGTAATAGCTCTCCGAATGTCTTTCCTGGCTATTGCAATTCTAGGTTTTATTGTTGTAG